ATAACATTCTCTTTTATCAAGATTTTTGTAGTCGCTGTCGCGTTTGTCATATCGTTCTTTATGTTCCGACACCAACGAGACCAGCAGCTCTACATTCATCTTGCCTTGCATCTTCCTCGTCTTATTTCTTCCCGGCAGTGTAGACGCTACTTGGCGTATATCTTCTTCGCCGTTACGTATGTGTGCTCGGCAAGACCGTTTTGTGTTTGAGCGCCCCCAAGTTGTGTTTTATTGTAACTTCAGAAGCTCCAGACACGTGAGCAAAAGCGCCAATCTCATTGGTCGGATAGTTTTTGACGCAGCGCGTCAAACTAAAAAAAACGAACCCGAGGCATTTTTTTTAATAATGACGCTTTTACGCGTTGCGTTTTTCGTGTCGGTGTGCACACTCACATTGGCGCCCTTTGTTTAGCACGAGGCGTTAAACGTCGGCTAATATCGCGCGCGAAATTCGTCCCGGTGTGAACAGGCCTTTACACTACGTCAACAGCTTAGGAGAATGACATTTTTTTTTTTTGTTCTTGTCGCTTGATAAACTTAAGGTTGAGCCTCTGTAGTCACTTGGACTATTTTAACGATGTCTTTACTAACTTTTCTGGGCTGGCAGATATCAATTACCTAGCAGCTTATGAAGGAGTGAGACAGCTCTCAGATTTCATCAAAAATATCTTAATTTGTGTTCAGAAGATCGAAAGTCTTACGGGTTTGGAACAACATGAGGGTGAGTAATTACTGACAGAATTTTCATTTTTGGGTGAACTATCCCTTTAAGCACATTATTTCAACAAATCCCCAGTCAACAATACAAATAGTTACAGCTGTCAACACACTGACACCATTTGGTGAAAAATAATTATGAATGGTTCCGAAAAGTGACAATAAAATAGTAAAGCTGAGTAAAGCTCTATCATCATTTGGTTCCACATGCCACTTGGCTTGACATTTTAGGTACAATGAAAATCATACATTTTAGGTAAATATTTTTGAATGTTTGAGCATAATGTCAAATGATTTGAAGGGGTAATGGCATGATAAATCAAATCTGCCTTGATATTTTGACATATAAGAGGCCTTTTTTTTATCAGTTAACATCCTGCAAGTTTCATAGTTTAAAAACATCCTCCTCATTGTAAACAAAGCATTTATTTTACTAAGCTCGTTTGTATATTGTGGGATTTATGACATCACATGGGCAAAATCCTTTGCATATGCATTGACTGTCTCCAGAGCAAGACATCGACGAATAGTTATCATCGCACCATAGGCCCCGCCCACTGGCGTTCAGACACTTAACGGATTATATTTGTCTACACTGGATGTGAGCGTCATGTTGCGTCAAATCAAATAGAATTCACAATGAATACAGTATACAGATGCGTGTTCAGTTTCTGACACTCCACGCACTCGAGTGTTTCGACAACAGGCCAAATGGAAGAGTGAATAGAACCGTAAAGGAACGTTCAGTTTAAACAGCTCGTTTGTTTCTCTGTCAGAAGGATCCCAGCATTGAAAACAAGTGGATGGTTTATTTTAATGGCGTCCTGGATCTCGTCAGAGGATTATGTTTGTTCGGAGCATTTTGTTTTATAAACGAGGCACAGTGTAATGAAGAATTCACAAAGAAACTTTTGTTGATAGATGAATCAGCCAACAGTATTAGATCTGACATCAGCTGCATCACAAACTGTAAGTAAATGCTTTCATAATGCTTTTTCTGTAAATTATGGTTCTATGTGGAAAATGCACAATGTTAGCCAATCATAACAGTGGGCGTTTACTGACAAGCCTTAAAGGAGCAGCCCCAATGGGACATTTCAGACAAAGGGTCAGAATGAGGGTTAAAAATAATAATTGTTTCAACCCACTCTGATCCTCTGTCTGAAATTACCCATTTATATTTACATTAACCCTTTCACACGTAAGTTTAAAATATTCTAACTGACCCCCCAGCGTGAGTTTTTCAAGGCGACCGTTATTTAGAACTTGTCACTTTAATGTTTCCATGGTGACGCGTCATTGCTTGTCACGTGACACAGCGCAACCACAACACAGCGCTGAATGAATGATGATCTGCTTTTATGTCATTTTCCCTTTTTTATTAAAAATATTCACAAATGTATTAGTTATAGCATGAAACACTGATATTCCGATTGTCAAATATGTGCAAGTGGATGGGTTTTGTTGTTTAAACATCTTTATAACGATCGCGTTAGTTGAGCTGTATGCACAATGGGCGCCGCCATTTTAGTTTGTTTTACAGTTCAGAGAATCGGATCTGTTGGATTTACAACACGTCATTTCCTCCACTTCTCACGAAATACATGAAAGTAAGTGGCCGGTGAACTGGGAGAAGAATAGGGTCAAATGTAAAGCTATTTACACAATGTGTATCTGATATGAATAAAACGTGTCGTCTTATTATAATGGAAATGATTGTTGTTGCCGCTTCCATAGACATCAGTGTGTATTTTACAAACTCAAAATCATTGTTTTGCTAGTACGTATGTGTATTTAAATGTCTGAAACCTAAAATAAACATTATGTGGTTGAAAACACTCAATAGTTGTGATATATGACAGGACTGAGTCCGTCCGTCTCTGGCTCAGCGCCAGCCAACGCGCAAAAGCGCATTTAAATTTAGCAGTTGATCACGTGATGCACTGGCCGTTCTAATCACACCGGTGTGATCGTACGCTCCAGGAACCAGCCAAGACTGATCACACCGGTGTGATCGTACGCGTGAAAGGGTTAACTATGTAAACCTATAGGAACATTGCAAATTAATGAAAAAGTTTACCAAAAGATCTACACTTCGTCTACATTCAGAATAGCAAAAAAATAAATTCTGAAGAACAGGTCTATTAATAGAATTAGTTATTTTAAATATGTACATTCAAAATGTATTGTGCAGCATGTCTGCTCTAAAACAGAAGCTGGTTCTCTTTCTAGAAGGGTAAAAAAACTACAGAGGCAGCATTAGAGTTGACAGACTGACCAATGGGATGAAGAGCTATACGTATCAAACTATACAAATGCTCCTGTCAAAGAAAAATCCTGCTCTTGGATGATCCATTGCTCCATGCCAAGCTGAAGACAAAGTGGAGTTTGGCAAAACCGCAGCATCTGCTTATTCTACCCCGAGTCTGTTTCTGGAGAACTTCACATACATTTTTTGGTTTCTGTGGAAGGATAGAGGATTGCCTGTGAGCAATTGATGGACTGGACAAATAAAAAATATTAAAAAGCAAGCTTTTAAATCAACCACATGAGAGAGGGCTCATATGGTTGCTTTGTTGTGAGATAGGAATCTTGCTTAACTGATGTCCCAAAAAACACCCACCCCCTTCTCATGGTGGTGCCCTTTTCTCTGGAGGTTTCAGTTCAGCAGGGCTGATGGTGAGAACAAGCACAGGCGCATCCCTAAGGGTACATGCTTTTGTTCTGAAGCCATGCGTCTCACAACTGTCACACAAATAGTGATTATAGGCTGACATTGACTGGCACAAGAGTTCAAAACATTCTCTCCCCACTGTACAGTGATCTAGAACAGTCTTTCTATAATATTCTTCATAAAAAAAAATAAAAAAAAATCTTATGACGCAAGAATGATAACCTCAGTCAATTAAAATCTTACCATTGTTAATACTTTTGTTTAGTAGGCCTACCCTACCATAAAACCTTGTTTTATAGTTTTGATCCATCAGCAGATGGCACTGTAGTCCTCATATGTTACAATGACGAGACAGCTGTGCTTTTAAAACAGTAACATTTCTGGATGGATGGACAGACAGAGGAATGGATCGAGGGATTGACTGACTGAGGGACAGACAGAGGGATGGATGGAGGAATGGAGGGATGAACTCAGGGACAGATGGAGGGATGGATGCATGCCTTGAATGGAGGGATGTATGGATGGAAAGAGGGACAGACTGAGGGATGAATGGATGATGGAGGGATGGATGAAGGAGGGAGGGATGAATGGATGGACGGAAGGATGTAAGGAGGGATGGACTGGACGGGGGGGGGATGTATGGAGGGATAGACAGAGGGATGGATGGGTGGAAGGATGGAGAAATTTGGATGGAGGGATGGATGAATGGATGGATGCCTTGAAAGGAGGGATGGATGGATGGATGGATGGATGGATGAATGGATGGATGAACGGACAGAGGAATGGATGGATGAATGAATGGATGGACTCAGGGATAGACGGATGCCTTGAATGGAGGGATGGAAGGATGATGGATGGCTGGATGGAGGGACGGAGGGATGGATGGATGGATAGATAGATGGATGGATAAATGGATTGACGGATGGAGGGTTGGATGGAGTACAAAGCCTTATGCAAAGGGTTGGATGGAGTACAAAGCCTTTTGCAACAATCATGCAATGGTACAATAATAAAAATCCTAAATGATTCACAATTGTATTTCAGTCATGACAACTCTCGGAGAGAATAAATTTCAACCAGCATTTATTGGCATGGGGCATGAAATATAATAGGCTTGATTTTGGCAGAAGAGATACTGCTACGCTGCTGCTGAGCATATACAATAATTTGTTCAGCGTAGTATAAAAACAAAAACAAAGGAAAGGCTGCTGCAAGAAATGGTAGAACCCCCGTAGCACATCTCTACAGGTGAAGCTAGGGAGGAGGAGGGAGGCTAGGGTTAGATATATATGGCTACTTCTGATTGGCTGGTGTCACGTGAAAGAACCAATCAGCGTTCATTAGAGTTTCATGCCTGAACTATTTACCTGCCAGTTCAAATGATTAAAAACCTTTTGAATTAAAATCGCAATGATAAATATTGAAATAAAGTACTGTGAATATGTGCATTAGTAATTTTACTTCCCTTAAAATAAGACTGTCGTCAAAATGGACAATGGAAAAGCAGTACACAAAGTAAAGTTAATAAACTGTTTTACAATTACTGACAACTCTAATGACAACTCTACCAGAGTAACTTTAACTCTAATCTCTCGAAGATGAGATGTACCTGTCGAAGGAGAAGGACGCTTTGTGCTGCAGTGCTCCTGATGAAGATCACTAGGTCATGGTGCCTCTGAAACAAAGAAATATCCTGTCATTAAATGAAACAGAACTACAACTGGTTCAAACTTCGTAAATCTTTCCATTAGAAGTTTTCCGGAGGTGAAAGCAGAGCCGTTCTACCTCGTCCGACTGCAAACCAGCATGTGAAGAAGAGGGCAAGGAAAGGGAAGGGTGGCTTGCATCTAATCAATGCAGTTGCTGTGGAAACGCTAATCTGCTTGTGCACTGATTAATGGCTAAACAATAGGATGACAGATATTTATGGATGTGTGCCACTCCACAGAAGAGGCCATGAAGAGATATGGAAAACAAGCTTATGAGAGCCTGTACTCCAGCCTCAAACACAACCTCCGCAAACAGAGCATTAATATTCATTAAAGCACAACAAGACAAACATTCGGCCGCGTTGCTCTCTACAGCACATCTGAAGTTCTGTTTACATTTGATCTTTTTTCACACACTCAGAAGTGTCATGTCTGAATTTCAAATGCAGCGTACAAACAAAACATTATGGGCTGTATCTTGCACCCGGCACAAATGACTTTGTACACTGACGCATGTATCATTCCTATTTTGCACCCGCGCAAAGCAGGCTTTTCCCTCCACAGACACACGTCGGTTAACTAAGAAATACACTTGCGCTCCCTGGGGCGGTTCAGCGCAAAGAGGAGGCGTGTTCCGGCGCAAACTTTCCCTCATGCTATTTTGCTGTTCTATAAAACAATTGCGCCACTGACCAGAAAAAAACCTAGTCTAAAGTCAGTGGCGCGTTGCACGTTGTTCATAATGCTATTTTAAGCGCGCATGCTTGGCCATAATGTAGCGGGTGCACAACGCGCATACACTATGATTCTCTCATCAACACAAATGCAGCAGTTTTTATTTTTGCAAATCATACATTATAACAAGGAAAAATATTAACACATGAGGGAAATCATTGTGGTGTCCATGAAGATGTAAAAAATTTAGTTTTTTTCCTCCCACGCCTGTTTAACCGACGCTGATTTGGGTGGGTTTCTCCCATCCCCATACAAATTCACTTCTCTGTCCTTCACGGTCCTGACAAGAACGTCGGTCTCCTCGGCTGTGAACCGCTCCTGGCGCGCGCCTGGTAAATCCGCCATTATAATAGCAATCCGCCATGCAACATGCGCACCTGCTCTTAAAGGGAATGTGAGATGACGCTCTGATTGGTTTATTTCACGTTACGCCCAAACCACACCTATGAATAATGAAGCTACTTCAGACCAACCCCTTTTAGATTTGCGCCAGGCGCAAGAGGCATTTATCCCGCGGGAAAATAGCAACAGCGCCGGGATCCGCCCACAAAGTTACTTGCGCTTTGACACTTGCGTTTCAGATCGTTAAAAAAGGGCCCTATGTCTTTGTATTTGCAATGTGAAATTTAAACTGTTGTTGTTGTGATGATGTGGCAAAAATCTTCAACTTCACTTGGTTTATTAAAAATTATAGGGATACACCAATATTATCCAAGACTGACTGGTCACTGGTGCCCCCTCAGAATAATAGGTTCATGCTGAAATATTCACCAGCTTCATCTTCAACATCCATTTCTATGATGAAATCATTACAGCTGTAATCCTAAATGTGTGGACTTGATAACTATATGCTTGTTGAGTTCACAAATTCTATGGAAAGCATATTAAGTGACTCGGTGAGCACTGTGATTTTGTTATCTTGTGCAAATTAAAAACAACAGGCTGATGAATGTCTTAACTCTTCCATGCTTACAAGCCTTGATGACTTGACGAAGCCTTGGCTGGCTTTCCTGCCTGCTCACATTCCCTGCTTTCAATCTTATTCAGCTGAGTTTAAAGACTTTCGGCTGTTTTCTCGCTAAGGATCAGCGGTAAGCCCCTCTCAGTGACACATTGAGAATCCATTTTAGTCCAGCACAATTTTGAAACCTCAAACAGAATTATGTTTTCAGTTTTGAAGAGGAAACTCGGGCCAAATGGGGACATCACTGTACCACTGTCGGCTAGTAAACTCAACGGCCGGTTCACTGTGCTGTGGCTTCTTTGTGTTCACTCCACCTAGAAAAGGAAGTCAAGATGTGCATGACTGAGAACTCAGTGTAAACAACTTGACTCTCCCTATGGAGGGAGATTGATCCCGTAGCTCCTGTAGATTCTGTAGCTCAAATAGTAGAGCATGGCATTAGCAATCCCAAGGTCATGGGTTTGATTCCCAGGCAGTGACTGCATTGAAACAAATTTAAAGCTTGAATGCAATGCTTTGGATAAAAAATGCATAAAAGGAAAATGGTAACGGTAACTCTTTACAATGAAGTTCCCGATAGACCATATGCGCCAGAGAAATAAGCGTGCAGCCATCTTTAAAATGTTGTGTTTGAACCTTTTTTTGCGGTAGCTCTTTATATGGAATTACTGTCGAATTGTAGAGTTAACAAAAGTTATCATGAGCATTGTAATGTTTGAAACTGATGTCATAACAAATGACAGATGACAGAAGATTTTAAAACGAGCGGTTCATTCATAAATCCGTAAGATCTTACCTTCAAGCTGTGGAAATATAAACCGGAAGGCTACATAAGGTCTATACTCACAGCAAAGTTCTTTTTTTGTTATTTTCGCTTATAGGGGTAAAAAGAAGTTTGAAATACATGACCACCGGTTTACTATTAACGAACATCCCGACACAGTCCACACTGCTGAGAGCGACGTTTAGATGAATATGTAAATACATGCTCTGTGCTTTCATTTAAATGAAGGTGAGAAAACAGCAGTTAAAATGTATGGAAGGCAATTTCGGAAAAGCTAGCAATAGCAAGCTAGCTTTGAAAGCATGAGATCCCACCATCCCTTCAGAACAAATCCACGCCCCCCCTTCAAAACACATGAACGCACACAGCAGAGTCTGCAAACCAGCACGAGACGAGAGACGGCGTTAAATCACCTCATGTCTCAAAGCACAAAAAACATTACAATAATAATGAACAACAATTTACAGAGCTCTTATTTGTACCTCCTGACTGCTGCAGATTCATTTAGGCATTGATAGTGTTGACATAGGCACGCATAAAACCCAGTCTGAGGACTTGAACAGCTCCGGGTATCCGTTAACATTGATGTACTGTAAACTAACAAGAGCAATCAATAAACAATTTTTATTTTTATTAGTTAAAGCTGCAGTCTGGCGTTTTTCCTCTTTGTCTCCATCTCTGTTCGAAATCTGCAATTGCAGTCATTTGCGGAATTATCAACTTAACGTGAGTTGTACTTCATCACACTTGACACGGCACAGCGCAGATGAACACAATGTTTGAGGAGACTGTGCAGCTCTCAGTTACCGCGCTGATGTGGAGACTGGCATTCAGAATCACAGATTATTCTTTTTGGAAGTATGACCAACATAATCATTTTCACCGGAAAATGTCATCTGAACTAATAAGAAACATCCACTTTTGTTCTGGTTCTGACATTGCAGTAAATCACGCTGATTAAATCTAACAATCGCTTATAAGTTATCATATCACACAAAACCGTGCAAATTATACTTTGTTCTCAAATTGTTAATGTTAACAACGTCAGCACTGCGTGACTACATGTAATGTCCTTCCGATATGTATCCTTGTTTTCGCACGGGCCGGTTGCAGTCTCTTTTTTTCTGTAGCCACTCCGAAGTCCGAACGAAGTCTTTTGCATTTTACAGCCGGTGAATCTGTTGTCACTGGTGATTGTTGTTTGAACCTTTCTGGATCCACCATCAAATTGATAAGTTTAATTATATCAAGTGCTGTGAGAAAAGGCTATAAATCTCCACCTCCAGCATCCTCACACGCAATATTGCCTACTAGCCGAGACTCCTTCTTTATGTGTACAGATGTGACGTAATGATGCAAAGACATGCTCGAATCTCCTGCTGAAATCCACCAGTAGCACTGGAATTAAAAACATTATTACAAGCTTACCGCTTTGAATCGAGCTACGGCAAGCAGATAGTTTTGTACACTAGCTGGTTATGTATTTTCTCAAATATGTATTTTGGATAATTTTTAACCCAAAAAAAGCTACGGACTGCAGCTTTAACATTAACAAAGGTTAATACATTCTGTAAAATATAGTGCTCATAGTTAGTTCACATTAACTACTGTTAACAAATTAGACATTATTGTAAAATTTTAGCATGTTAATTAATACAATCACGCATTGTAATGGCCTTAATAAAACATTCATTTTGCAATTTGAGTTTGTTATGTTGAATGGAAAAAAAAATCCTAGGTGTGTTTTTCAGTTCTGTTTATTTAAATAGTTAACAGTTGTTCCGCACAGTCCAAACACCAAATCCAAGTGGCATTTGGCAGAACACATTATGGCCGTATTACCACATTACTACACAATGAGAACTTCTCCTCACACAAACACTGAATGACTCATCCACAGTAAACTGGATGGGGTCAGCTGTGCTGCTAAATATAGCTGTGAGACCGGCCAAAATAAGCATCAGAAATAAAAAAGAAACCCCTCCAACGCTTTTCCATGTGTGCGCGAAGAACGCAGGCATCAGGAGTCAGCACAAAGAAAACACTGTGAGACCCGCTCGAGTGAGGAAAAGAAAAGAGAGGGGGAAAATTCCTTTACCGTTCCCAAAAATGATCCCACATTTTAACTTTCCCAGAAAGCCAGCTAATTCCCAAGAGGCTGTCCCTGAGCGCATTGCACATGGCCTTTGCCCCTCCCACTTCCCCTCATGTCATTGGCCCAGCACAGGACTCCCCAGGGAGTCAGTAGTGAGGGATCGCTAAACCAGTAAACAAAATAGCCTGCTTTCAGCCAGTCGGCATATACTGATGTTTTACAGATTTAATTTAAAATCAATCCATCAAAATATGCAGATTCACTTAAAAGTAACGCTAATAGATGATTAATCCATTTCAGAAGCTGACTCTCGTTCCCACACGATCATACAATTACTTCTCAGAATCTACTTCACATTTTTTGACAATATGATTCAACCCAAAATGTTAGAAGTGCAGTAATTTTGAGTTTTAATAGGTTTTCGTGAAACATTACGCATCTTTTTCAGAACAACAGATGTTTGTCAGTCTGACTCATAATAGTGTCCCATTTTCACCAAGCAACAATGTGGCAAACAATGACATGAACTAGATCATTTCGAACAATGGTCAGTGATGATTTAAGCACTTTTCATAGTGTTCTTTTCGGGTAAACATACATATCAACACCAGACATCAGTGCTAGTTCCTATTCAAAAACAAACTGGAACAATGACAGCTAGGGCAATGACTAATAAAAGAGCATTCAACATGAATACAATTTCAACAAAAGTTTAAATTCAATTACTCTAAAATGTCATGCAGTGTATAAAAAGTAATATTTTCCTCATGTACTGTACTGAATACATTTGAATGTATGTCTTAAATGCTATTTTTTTTAACTATATTGTTAAAGATAAAAATGACTTACAAGCATCATAAATATAACTTACTACATCAGTTTTTGGCAAGTCACACCTTGTCTTGCATTAATACGGTCAAATCATCTGATATTTATAGAGACTTCTTGACCTTGACACACAGTCATGAGGGTACTTTGATGATATCATTTCCTATTTTATTTTTTCCCCACACTTGCATGTTTCTGCAAGTCGCACCATATGATTTTTTTTTTTTTTAACGAAACATGCTAACTGCTATTCTGTCCCATTCTGTAATATACTTAGAGAGAACAGATATATGAGGAAAACAGGCGCGACCCAACGAGTCATTTTGCGCAATATTATCACAGCGCATCCTACGCGAGTTCGTCGACCATTTGAGAGGCTTAACATTTGGTTGGCAGCGCTGACTTAATAATTATGTTGAAGTCTTTTGATCTGAGGACACTTGAGCATGGATATGAATCTGGTTCATCAGCATCAAAGCCTGTGAGGTCACATCACATGACATCTAAGTGGAATGTTATTGTGTCATGTGAGCAGAGTAAGAAAAAAAAAAACTAAAAACCTTATCCCGATTCCCTTTTTTCCAGGCATTCGTTTGAAATACGAACGTAAAAAAAGCCAGGAAGATGTTTAGCTTAACGGAACACCGTTATCTACAAAAGCAATGATCTCATTCTTGTTTGTGAACTGTAACTTTCCAAACTACAGTTCAAACGGACGAAATAACATTTACCCGATGATAACAGGTAACGATAACAACGTTGAGGCCACAAGCTTTAAGTCAAACAGGCGACGCAGCAGTCTAAGAAAACAATGTCCAGACCACCAGGGACACACCATGCTTACACTCACTATAAATACCAGGAGCTCCAGCTTTCAAGTTCTGCTTGAGCACAGCCGTAGTCTAAAGGTCCTGTCTTAACTGTAGGAGTGTGGACATGGACCAGAGGATGGAAGAGAGTATCAAAACACGGGCCGTTGTTTAAGACAAAGTCAGAATTCCTTTATATTGATTCAAAGACAGGGAACAGTCCTCACCATTCATCTTTTCAGCACATGCTGCTTGAGGAATGACAGATGTATGTGAAATATGCCGTGGTGAACTGACACCTGCGGTGGGTAAGATTCAGCCTGTCATCAATGAAGAATGCTTTATTTGTCAAGTCAACGTCCATAAGCTATATTTAGGTGAGAACAACTATTTTGGTTAGAGAATAATATAAAAACATAGGCTATTTTGAGAAAAAAACGACTGAGATCATTGGACTACTTGTAGTTCGGTTCTCTTGATACATTTAGTCAGCTGCTTCACCAAACCTAAAAGATACAAAACAAAACAAAGAATATTTTATGAAGAACTATATTTTGCGACAGAACTTACCGAACATCCAAAACTGTTTTGTATGCGTACATATGATGCTATTTTTACCAGCTGAGAACTCACAAAAAGCCAAAACAGCACCATAATTCGCCTTTGGCTAAGCCCCGCCCCCTTAGTTACTGTTGCTACGTTCGACAAACAAACTTAATCTGGGCTCTGGTATCAACATGGCTTATGCTGTGACAGCTCTTCCTGCTGAAATTTTATCAAACTTTTATAAAGCAGCAAATAAAGTGTCCGATAGAATTAGGCAAAAGGGCTGCTATATACGTTCGAAGGCTATATTCACGACATACAGGTGAAATGCAAGGAACAACAAGGCATTCAAATAGAGGCAAAAGCATACCGGTCACAGTCAAAAAATGAACCACCGCATATCCTACTAATCGAGACGGAGGCTGGGACTAACAATATCAAGGAGCAACACTGTTCATGCAAAGCTGGTAGGTCTCTATTCACTTCTATAATCGTTATACAAAGCAAACGGACTACGCGAGTATAACGTTGTATTTATTAGCAGCGTGTTCTAGACGACACTTGTCAGGATTTGACCGGTTTGGGAAGGGAAAAAAACGGACACCCCCCTCCAACCTCTCTGGGAAACACGTATGTGTTACAAATGCCCCAGGCACAACGTTTAACCATATTTTTGATAAAACTACGACGGTAATAGCCTGCCGAGACCAAAAATATGAGACGCCTGTGTTAAAGGCAATGGAGCGCTGTGAAAAAGTGTCTGACCTCTGTGGGAGCTCGTTCTTGGCTGCGCTGTGATTGGTCAATCTACATTCTAGGGTGTGGCTTAGCCAAAGGCGAATTGCACACAAATAAAGATCTGCTGCAAGGAGACAGTGGTTCTGACACATGTACCGAACTGTAATAGGCAACGTATCTCATATGATGAGAAAAAAACAGGTATGCTTGAGCATCTTGTGACATCATGTCCTGTTTTTGGTTTGTTTAGATGTCTTTGGTCCATGTTGCATTCATATTTCAGTAGAACCGCTGTTTGGAAGGGGGACCGGGACCCACCTTTTCAGGGGTCTCGGTCCGCTGGTTTGGTGCGCACCAGGGTCCAGCTTTGACTGTACCAATATGGCGGACGGCTTACGTATAGTCTCCCAAAGAAACAGCCGCTAATGATATTATATAATACTACATAGATTATATAGTATATGTTATATACATCTATGATAGAAACAAGCGCACCATGTTTGGACTTCCGTTTTGCGGTGGATTTACTTATTGTAGAGTTAACAAAAGTTATCATGAGCATTCATGAATGTTTGAAGCGGATGTCAAAACAAATGTCTGTAGAAGATTTGACAAACCGGAAGACAGAACACAACGAGCGCAGAGCTGAAAAGCGGCGGGGCTACACAAGATCTATAAGCCGAGAAGCTGTGAAAATAAGGTGGCATTTGATGCTATGCAGGCCAACTGGCACAGATAAACAATTAAAACAAATGGCTCTGCCATTTAAGAGCTGCTTGCAAATATTATTCTTAAATCATAACACACATTCACTATTTTTGACAACTCCGTTGGTCTGTCACATTGTAGCAAAGCCCATTAATATGTGAAGCTTAAATAAATATCAATAATAACAATCTGGTTCCTGAAGTTTTTGGTGGTTGTTATGTTCTCCTTGACTACAATGACTGCAAATAGACAGAAACAGAATAACACACACTGTAAGTGTCCAGTGACATTATGAGTCAAAAGGACGACCTATTGAACTGAATTTATTGATTTATAGTGAATATGTTTTGCAAGAAAAGGTGGCTTACGATCCAGGCTATATTTAGGCATAAAGCTGCCCTAATTAAGGATTCTCTACCTGCAGTTGAGAATAATTATTCAGGCCTGTGGCAGTAAACACTGGGAGTGTTTCATGCACAGTGCCTCCCTCCACACAAATCACACTGAGGCTAAAGGTCGCTGCATGGGAACGCTCAACAATACTGTCTTGCAGACACACCCATGAGTGTGTGCACACTTAACAACATTTTAATGAGCTATAAAGGCCGTTTATGTTGTTTATGGTAACAAATACGCAACACAAACTGCACTCAATGCCCTCACACCTGCTCAAGTGAAGCACACAAATGATTCATTTAGCAGATGCATGTGACTTGCACAGTTTTTGTTAGCATTATCTTTCAACACTTTTGTGCTGTACAAAGTGAAAATGTGCCGCTGTTGCTTTAAGAAGGTATTTCAACTTGCAGCCTCTAAAGTTACTTGTTGGTGTATCCTAATGTAGTTAGGTTGATTTGGACTTTTAATAAGTTTAAACTTAAAATAATAAAACCAGTTTATGAAAACCAGTGGTACACTTGCAATCAATAAAAAATTCAAGTGTTAAGTTAAATTGTGGAGTTTGATCAACAAACAAACAAACGACCAACAACAACAACACATACTGTACAATATCCGATTTTCTGGTAAAAGTTTGTCAAATCAATAATATTAATGAAAACTTTCCACTCAGTGTGAAATAGAGAGGGAATATCCTACAAAATAAGCAATAATGACAATAATAACCAGGCAATAATAAACGAATTATTACATAAATTAAATAGCTATGCCCAACTACTGAAATAGAAAATTAAGTTATTGTTTGAAATTAAATTTACGATTAATGTACAAGAATAAAAACTTTTTTATGCTTATTTACCTGAACATTTTTTTAATTTGCATAGGTATATAATTAGATCATTATATAATACTTAGATAATTATAGAATATATAGTGAATTGACGTCAGTTTTATTTATGTCATGATGTTCCTAACTCCCTAAACTTACTCAAAAGAGTTCCTAAAGTGTCATGACACTCTGTGCCAGCGAACATATCCATTTAACAGTCGTCCCGTTAGATAAGAGTTCAGTTTATGACTCATTATTCTGAATAATTGCGCAGGTATTTAATATAAAGTGTCACTTGTAACACATTAAAGACTGTGGAGTGTCATTCAATCAGGCGTGCGGCAGCATCATATAGACACGCAAGTAAAACCGAATAAATATCGAACTTACCGTTTCTTGTCTTCTAAATTATACGTGTTCCCTTGAATGACACATCTAGAATACAATAGAATTCCGGCAGAATATGTATTCTCTTTCTTCACTGAAGTAACAGTTGTTGCTGTTGGTAAAGATGGCCGCTCTCATTGTGTTTAGCCGGTGATGTAATGAAGTTGTGTTAACCCTTCGTAACACTTGGAGAACTGAACTGACACCACATCGACATTCTAACCTGCTAGATTAGAAAGTGAACGGAATAAAAGCGATTTTTAGATGAGTATGAGTGATTCTCATAAAATAATTATCTTACTCTGAAAGCTGTAAACATCAGTCGTGGAGCAGCAATGCACATAATACCAGTCCCAGAGATGTAAAAAGTCCTAGTATGTGAAAATGCGTCCAAATGTTACTCGATTAAAAAATATATATAACCAAAAGCGTACATGACTTTAGTTAAACTAATAATACTAATAAAAAAAAAATAGCCTTCTTCAGTTGGCATGTGATTTATAGATTAGCCTATATTAGTTACAGACAAAACAAACACTTTTTGAAGGTACCCATGTAGTTGTATGACACTGCCATCTGGTGAAATCTCAAGGTCAGTTCACTCATATTCGACATGTGATCAACTTAAATATATCCAAATATAATAACAGGACTAATTCTTGAGAAACTGGATACAGCAGTAGAAAATAAAGCATACCAGTTCACTTTCTCAACTGGAGATTCAAGATCCTATTGTCACCTTTTAAAACAGCATTATTTTGTGTGCTTCCACAAGGTTGTTGCAGTTCCAAAAAAAGTATGTAATAATAGGCTAAATAACCATGAAACTTCAGGCGCACACATGAAAGCAGTGCAAAATTGGCATTATTCGTGCAAAATGCAGGTATGATTATGAGGGTAGTTGATGCATATCCATGGACTTTATTCAAGATTTTGGGTTCAAACTGATATTAATAGTAAAAGTGTTTAAGCATTGTAAATGGTCACATGATTTCAGTTTTGCCATTTTAATCACATTTTGCATTGATTAGCTCATTTTACATGGTCCTGCTATGTGACAAATTAATTCGGTTTAATATTAGGTCAAAAAAGCCACATGCATAATAATTATTATAAAGTAATTCGCAAAATGCTGTTTATGGTTTTAGATGGAGTTTAGCATTTTACCAACTATCAACTTCTCAAAAGTATTTCATGCCAGTGCAATATATTAATGCAAACATTCAAAGAAACACATTATTTGCGATTACCACAGTATACAGGAGACTAAATGCATGTGATATTGCTGATTGTAAACCTGTGTTTATGGTGTTGAACTGAGTCAAAGTAACATAAAGCAAGTTGTGAATTTAGCAGGTCATTTCTTAAAAGTTTGTCGTTACTGGAGATGAAGAACTATAACTCTTGATTCACCCAAACAGTTCAGACTGGACTTTGCGAATGTCCTTATATTTCAACAGCCATTTAGAAAGTAGTAGATCACAGATAATTTGCAAACCAAACCAGAGCCAACATAACAACAAACTTAAGCAACGTGGTCTGAGTCATGAGAAAGGTTGCGCTTTTCCCCTCTCTCGTTCTGTTTTCTGCTTTCGTTTCTCAAGTCTTCTCCCACATGGTTGGGATTGGATGATCATGTCCCACATTGCCCACACTCTCCCGCTGATGGAGGTGTGAGGCTTAATCACGGCCCAGAATAGTGTGTGGTTTGGGGAAGGAGGGTGTGCTGGGGGAGGCAGGCTGGATGCCAGCCGTATCTCTGAGAGTGCTGGCGTGAGATGTGACTCATCGAAGTGCTGTGTGTCTTTCACTTTACATTCTGCTTCACACACAGTGAGATAGATGATGGGCAGGATGGAGCCCCAGCTGCCTGAGAGACTTTGGGGCACCAACCAACCACTGATTATTCATTTCGATTACAAAACACAATAGTTTGTGTTGCAGGTGGTCAGTGCCCGCACACGTGGATGCGTTCATGTGGGCAATCTGAGATTCTAGATTCTAGTCAGTTCCCTGATCCCGATTGCTTTCGTACTATGACATTAAATGACAGAAAGGCTGTAAATTCTACTATTTTACCCATTTTTATGGTTTTAAAACAGTGTAAACAAGATGCTGTATGCTAAAGGTAGCCTATACATCCAAGTGAAAATACTTCTTGAACAAGAAAAAACATTGGGTGCATGGGACTCGATTTTGTCCATTGGGAATAGGTATACTTCACGTCTGCTGAAAAGATGTGTTTTATTTAAATGTAATTATCTGGACATACTTGCCATGTTGTCATTATCATGTGACCTACAGTACCAGCGTCAATTGCATCACTTCACTTCTATTCACAAATCCTCTCCTGTGGCCTCATGATGGGATAGTAAAGTATCCATCAAATGCACACTTCAGAATCTCGCCAGAAATATTGTAGGTCATCATGTTTCTTTCAGCTTAGTCTTTAATGAGTACTGTGAATTCGGACATACTTCTTTTGTCACATACTTTTGGCCTACTATGTAGTATGGGAAGTATGTGATTTCGGATGCAGCCAAGATGTCACTGCAAGAGGAGGGGAAGTTATTTTGATTCAAGATTATGAGGGCACATTAATAAAAAAATAATAATGATGTGAATGGATAAATCTTTTAAACACGGCAATGTTCCAAAACATAAAAGCTATAGAAACAGATTCGTTTCTGAGATCTCCTGATCACCTGTGAATATTCTCAAGCAGACTTGCCTGTGATTCTCCCTCGTGTTCCTTCAAGTCTGAGTCCTTTCCTGCGATACTCCAACCAGCATCTGTAAGAGAAAGCCTTTCATTATTATCATTCTGTCATTCATCAAATGATAACCAATATTTACTCGCCCGTTTGTCTCCAATGTGTGACCAATAAAATGTTTTTGGATTAACTTACCCTCTGTGTGTATATCCTGACACATGGGGTTGATTTCCAAGGAATACACTGATTCAAAAACAAATTATACCTTTAATGCAATGAAATGTAACTAAAAATAATATGAGAATAATATCAAATAAGTACATGTTGAATGTCTTGTTGCACAATTAATGCTTTTAAATATTTAGCAGTATTGTTTAACTGTTCTTTTGTAAAGATTTAGAGGAATATGTAGGGGAGAGTTACTTATAAAAAATAATGTTACAGTGTTGCATTACTCCATTAAAGTAACTACTTGCATTACATTTTACCGAAAGTAATGTGTTAGTTTTGCATTACTCTGGTCTTGCTCCGTCCTATCTCTCTGACTTACTTTTTCAGTCATAATGTTTCCTTATGTACCATTAGTCTTTTGCATCTGACCTTTGCTTCAAATGCCCACCTTCTATGCTGTCTGTAAATAGTGTTGTTTTTTGTTTCTGTTATTGTTTATGTTTCTATTCCAATTGCAATGTGATATGCAACTGCAATCGGTCATTTCTTGGACTGGGCAAATGTCTAGACGCTATTGTGAAGCGTCCTTGAGCTTGGAAAAGGCGCTATATAAATTAAACATATTATTATTATTATTATTATTATACAAAAAAAAAAACAGAAAACAAACAAACAAAAAAGTTCTATTTCTGGTAAATGTAAAGGCCCTTTCACAACAAAAGTGAAATGAATAAGGTATAACAACCTTTCAGCTGTGCTGCCCTTCTGGATCGCAGAAGAATAATATACAGGAGAAGAATGTTTAACACTTTTAGTTCAGCAATAAAACACAAAAAAAACAAATGTTATGTTTGAAGTAATTTTTGCTAATTTGTATGGTTGAATCGGATCCTTGAAGGTCAGCAGCAAAGACACTGTTAATAAAGTGAAATTAAATACATAAAGTATATTTGTGTTATTTACCGTATTTGATTATTGCAGGTTTTTGTAATATTCTGAGTTTTCATTTCAGTTTTTGTTCATTTTGAGAAATGCTGAATTTGTTTTTGTTCAAGTGTGATGAGATGATAAATACATGCTCACATTTAATCCAATCGTGCTCCTAGAGGGCCACTGTCATGCAGGGTAAACACACCTGAACCAGAAATCAAGGTCTTAGGCATGCTAAACTTCCAGGCAGGTGTGTTGAGGCAAGTTGGAGCTGAACCAAAGCCTTTGGCTGAACTCTGCAGGACAGGGGCCTATAGGACCGACTTTGGACACCATTGGTCTAGAACTACAATAAACACAGCGCACACAACGCCTCTGCACTTACTAACGATTTCTCCCAACATGAGGACAGAAGAGGAGTTAGTCAATAAATGGGAAAACAAAGTACCTTGAGTTGCTTATTTGAAAAAGTAACTCATATACTGTTGAAAATTAAAGTCATGCGTTACTTGGAAAAAGTAATATGATTATGTATCTTGAGTTACTTGGACTACTGTATACTCCAACACTGGATATATACACTCACCTAAAGGATTATTAGGAACACCATACTAATACTGTGTTTGACCCCCTTTCGCCTTCAGAACTGCCTTAATTCTACGTGGCATTGATTCAACAAGGTGCTGAAAGCATTCTTTAGAAATGTTGGCCCATATTGAAATGATAGCATCTTGCAGTTGATGGAGATTTGTGGGATGCACATCCAGGGCACGAAGCTCCCGTTCCACCACATCCCAAAGATGCTCTAGTCAAGTCAAGTCATCTTCATTTATATAGCGCTTTTAACAATGGAGATTGTTTCAAAGCAGCTTTACAGAGATAAACATACAATTTACGGTAACAGAGATTGTTTTGGCTTTATAGCGATTTTTGAATAATGTTATTTCCAGCTAAAGTTGGTTTTGATTGATTCACTTCCCGCAAAATTATCATTTGTTATTACATTAGGGGCCACTAAGACGATGGCGTTCTCTCTAAACAGACTTTAAACGCGAACCTGTGACCTGATGGCGTTCACATGCGCATTCAAAATTGATTCTATAGTTAAATTCGTTTGAATATGTGCGCGCAGGTTTGTAATTTCCCAACAAACCATGCCTAAACAAACTACTTGTCTTGCCTATAAATTTGATAGAGAATTTTATTTTATCACTTCGAGGTACGCGAACCGGATTTCAACAACGCTTTATCTGTAGAGTGGGAAAGGGATCCTCCATAGGGAGAGGATAGTTGACACTTCAGCACTGCATTGTCATCGGGTCCAGGCGAATCTCCTT